CCTCGTCGTGTGGCAGTGCGGGTTTATAATCCCTTAGAGGGAGTCCTTGGATCTTACAAACGGCTAAAGCCTCTGGTTGCTAACCAAGGAGTTGCAAGTCTGACTCCATCCAGAAGCAGCTCCGAAAAAAGGCCTGGTGATGTACTGCTGAAAAAGAAGCCACTGAAAGCTGTGTGAAGCATATGTCGACACTGACACACATGAAGACGCTATGTACCGGACAGATAATATGATCATTGACGTATAAATATTGATTTGTGTGTTGGTATATATACAAATGACTATATATGCTTGTGACTATATCAACACACGCACAGATACATATGTATATACACCTACACACACACTGGAGCTTCAAAAATGTCATTAGCCTTCCATTCCATTTTTTCACCATTTTTAAGCTCGTGTGTGTGTGTGTGTGTGTGTGTGTGTGTGTGTTTTCTCTATTAACCTGAAAAGTAATGGACAAAAATCTCAATTTGAATAAGCAACAATGGATAGTCATTTAAGAACAAGTTTGAAAAATGCATTGTCTATTCCTCCTCTCTTCAACATCCTCCACCACTAAAACAAATGTATTGATCCAAACGCTGATTCAGTCCAAATGCTGAGAAAGAGCAGGTCCCCAGAAGCCACGGGGCAAGTAAGCATTCTCAGCCCCCTCCAAGAGAACGAACTACCCTAAATATTTTGCACACAGGCACGCACAGCTGCCCACATGATGCTAATTTGGGGATAACCAGGCAAAGTCAAATTGTGACCTTTTCCAGTTGGTGAATTCATTTCCTAAAGCCCAGGGTTTCCCACACAGCAACCAGGAGGGTCTGGAGAATGTGGAGTCCAAAGAGAGCAGCCCATGGTGAGAAAACAGCGAGACAAGCCCGAGGAAGAATAAGCTCCATCTGCACCCTCGTAGGCTTTCGGTGAGGTCACACTGCTGGGGACAATCTGTCGCACTGCCACCCAGAGTCAGAAGGAGCCAGCGAGTCCTTCCAGGATGCTGCAAGTCTCGGTTACCTTTGAGAATCGAGCGTTGATCCACTTGGTAAAGGTTTTCTTCTGGACGTCGTCGTGCTCATCTGCAGGAGGAAAAACACCGAGAGGACAATGACAGTCGGCCCCGTGAGCAATAGAGGGGACTAAATAAGATGATGACCATCCTGGGGTGTTTCAAATCGTCCTATCGGTACCGTTCCTAAGGCACAAGGGACCAGTGCTAAGGAAAAGTGTGTGCTGGCTGAGAAACTCTTCACGTCTGGAGCTGCTGGACCTGGAGCTGAGCAAGACGCAGGCCCCTTTCCTCGGAAGCCTGGCCCACTCCACCAGCACACTGCCACCGGTCACGACACAGGTGTTTAGGTGTTTGTGGGACTTTAATTACAATGATGCCACATCCCACTTTGTGAGTATGTGGGTGTGTGTGTACCAAAAAAAAATACCCTACATATTTTAGCAAGTTTAAACAATAAGCTAAAGGTTAAATACAAAGCATCCTTTCTTGGGTATAAATTGCATGCCAGGTGGTACCAAGATATAACAAAAATTAGCTAGAGACATAAAAAAATACATTGTTGCCATAAAAAACAAAACAAAAGAACAATGCTGCCGTTGCTGTGGTTAGGTGCCTTGGCTTCTATTTGGCTGGTAGCAATTCCACCATCAGCAGGGAGAAGCACTGTCCAGGGCTGAGCCATCCTCGGACAACGTGTTTGTGGAGGAAAAAACCCAGCATATCCAACATGCTAGCCTGTTCCACATACATATCACAGCAATTAAGCAAAAATAAATGAAATGAAGGCTGTTAGGATTTGCTGACTTTTCACACTGGGGACACACACAAACACACACACACACACACACACACACACACAGAAAGTAGCATAAAGCTTTTAGTCAATTTCTGCACTGCAGCCCATCTCCTCTCGATTCACAGAGAGAGAAAGCACAGGAGGTCAGAAAAACCATCGATTTGAGTTTAGATTGCAAATTCCTTTTCAAAGCCACAACAAAGGAGCTGACCTTGGATGTCTTAATGACAGCAAGTTATCAGGGGATCTGAGGATGCCACCCTGTGTAAGAAAGAGAGCAAATGCTTTGGAGCCAAAGGTGACTGCATCCCAGCAGTCCACTAACTTCCGGTGTGATCTTGGGAGTGTCACACCCCATCTCCTAGCTCACGGCTCTCGTCTGTGTAACGGGCAGAAACAACACCTAGCTTGCAAAGGTTGTGTGAAGATGAGTAAATACAAGTGAGAAACCCTGGCCAGCAAGCTGACAATTACCTTGTACCATTGTTACATTATTATTACAAGTCTACTCACTGCCAGTGAATCTCTTCTGGCAGGTAGCAACCCTCTGTGGGGTTTCCGAAGACGTATGTCTTCACAGGAGCCGAAAGCTCCATCGATCTTTCTTGGTATTTCAACCATAGGTTTTGTGGTTAGCAGTTCTACACAGAACTGACAGCATCACCCGGGGGGCCTTTATTACAAGTTGAAGTAAAGTAAATGAAGCAGGCAAATAGATATCTGTCTCACTCTTGCTGTTACCAAGAGGCCACGGTGGCACAGCGAGTTAAGCACGGGCTGCTAACCACAATGTGAGCAGTTCAAACACCAGCTTAGGCAGTGCTCCCCTGTCCTACGCCGTTTCTAGGCATCAGCGTCAACTCGATGGCAGTGGGTTTGGTCGGAGTTTTCTGTGACTGAGCAGACTACACATCGTTATTAAGGAAAGAAAACTTTCCCACCC